TTTTTGTCTTTTTGTCCAAATTCATCAGATTATACAAATTCTTCAAATTAACCAAATGGTAACCAAAAAAAAGTTATTCTGCAAATTCTTCATATTCTTCAAACTAATCGGTTAGCATTTAGTGCCTAAGTGAATGAAGTTCAAAARAAAAAAAAAAAGGCTAAGTGAATGCATTATGAAAGCTGAGGGAATAACAAAATCAAAATAATATTCTAGGCAGTGTAGTGACAAAGATAGTAAAACCCAAGAAAAAACTTCTACTCAATAATCAAATTTAATCTCTATAGTGCATACGCATGGGCTTTAATACTGTAGTTACAGTAATTTTCGGTTCAACCATTTGTGTTAATTTCATTTGTATTGGGATTTTATTATCAGAGACAATAGGCCCATTTAAAAGCCACGGGCCATAAAAACAAAAGGTTATACAATTAGGTTTCGATATTGGCAACGACGGAAGAAAAAGTTTGAACAATACAAAAATCTCTGAAAAAGAAAGGTAAAGAGAAACGTTGGAAGAAAGATGACAATTTCTGATCTTTCAAGTGATTTGGTCGGAGATATTCTCTCTAGGGTTCCATTGACATCTCTAAGCGCAGTGCGATCTACTTGTAAAACGTGGAAAGCTTTATTGAAAAATCATATTCTAGGTCAAAAATCAGCAAAGAAGAATCAGTTTCTGGAGTTTATGAATATAGATTCTAGGGTTTGTTCCTTGCGATTTAATCTCCAAGGAATCCGCAACAATAACGAAGACAATGACTTGGTTGATTTATCAATGAAGCAAATAAGTATACCTAATAATGCAGTAGTCGAGATATTTCAAGTACATCACTGCAATGGCTTATTGTTATGCGTCACAGAAGACCCTTCGAGGCTCTTTGTATGGAATCCATATTTGGGTCAAATCAGATGGATTCAACAACCGTAACCACAAAATCATAAGTTTTTTTTATGATCAAGAATACAACAAATGCATTGATGTCTACGATTTTAACTCTCGTGCATGGAGGGTCCTTGATGTCAATTACGAAGCAGATGATATATTGTTCGATCGTGGCGGCGTGTCTTTGAAGGGAAATACTTACTTTTTCGGTCAAGAGGTAACAAGAGTGGAGGGAGTAGACACGATTAAATATTGTTTAATCTGTTTTGATTTTACAACAGAGAGATTTGGACCGCATCTGTCTCTACCGTTTCATCTTGAGTTTCTTAATTTTGAAAACAACTGTGACTTTATCTTGGGTTAGAGATGAGAAGCTTGCTGTGTTATATAACAACTTTGACACTAATAGAGATTTGGATTACGACTAAGATTGAGCCCAATGCGGTATGGTGGATTACTTTTTTAATTGTCGATATGAGAATGACACTAACCAATGGTTTACCGTATGGTTTTCCAATTTACTTTCAAGTTAGGAGCTTCTTCATTGACGAAGAGAAGAAAGTTGTTGTGCTTTTTGATGTAGACATAAATATAAGGACTGCGCACCAAACGGCTTACATCATTGGTGAAGATAGATACTTCAAAGGTGTCAACATGGAAAAAGGTCTGAATCACTGGGATTCTTTCGAACTTGTGTGTTCTTCTTATGTTCCAAGTTTAGTGCAAGTGGAAATCAACCAACTTGGGAAAAGGAAAGAAAGAGATGAATAATTAGTTCCATTTTGAAAATACTCTTTCATACCTTCTTTTGAACAAAACTACGACTAGTACTATTTAATTATTATTCTGTTTTTGCTATTATTAAAAATTTTGGCTTTCGCAAATCAATTAATCATCATATTTTGCTCCATGAAAATGTTTAACAATGCTAATTGTTCCAGATGAAAAAAAAGAAAAAGGAAAAGAAAGTTGAATCCTTTCTGAATCAATCCAAAAGAAGAAGAAGAAAAAAAAAAACTTAAAAGTTCATAAAATGGTTACTAAATCTCAATGCCCCTACTTCATCCAAAATCCAGAAGAAACCACTGCAGATG